TCAAAGAACGAAAAAAATCATTTCATTGTGAATGAGGGGGAGTGTGGAGTGGAGACCCAAAGCCCATCTGTAGGCAACTGGACATCCCCTTACAGAAGGGTCATGGGGAGGAGGCGAACCAGTCAGGGTGCAGTGTAGCAAAGATGAAACATACACTTTTCCTCTAGTTCTTTAATGCTTCCCTCCTCCCCCACTATTATGGTCCCAATTCTACCTTAGAAATCCAGTTAGATCTACATATAAACCTCCTCCCTGGGGGACGGACAACAGAAGAGTGAAGGGAGACATCAAACAGTATAAAACATGACAAAATAATAATTTATAAATTATCAAGGGTTTGTGAGAGAGAGGGGGTGGGGAGGGAGGAGAAAAAATGAGCTGATACTAAGGGCTCAAGTAGAAAGCAAATGTTTTGAGAATGATGATGGAAACATGTACAAATGTGCTTGACGCAATGGATGGATGTATGGATTGTGATAAGAATTGTACGAGCCACCAGTAAAATGATTTTAAAAAGTAACTGCAAAGTACTCAGCATACACGTACATACTTTTATACTAATCACCAAAAATGAATCCCCTAGAACAGTGGTTCTTAACCTTTCTCACGCCATGACCTTTTAATACAGTTCCTCATGTTATGATGACCCTCAACCATAAAATTATTTTTGTTGCTACTTCATAACTGTAATTTTGCTACTGTTATGAATTGTAATGTAAATATCTGATATGCAGGATGTATTAGGCGACCCCTGTGAAAAGGTTGTTTGACACCCCCCCAAAGGGATCACAACCCACAGGTTGAGAACCGCTGCTCTGGAGGTGTAGGGGATTCTATACCAGGTAGTGTTTACATGCATTCCCATTTATTTCTCTGAACAGTCCCTATGATCCTCATTTTTTAGAGTGAAGTATTAAAATATGATTTGCCCCAAATCTCATGCTAGTAATAACTGAATTGGAATCAGATCTGTCTGATTCCACTGCCTGAACTCTTAATGTTTTGAGATTCTCTATGTTAAATATGACTGGGCTCAACTAAAGCAGGCCGAGCCCCCACTTCCCTGCACATCCCTGGAGGTCAGGAGTCACCCCCTGGAGTAAGGAGACCGAGAAACAGCGCCAGGGATGCCTGACTTCTAGATAACCGGACACCCTACCTGCCAGAGCTGATAAACTGCATCCTGGGCCATAAACCATACCGCTGACCCTGTAGGCCATAAATTTCACTGCTGACATCCTGCCATAATCCTTCCCCCTGCCAGCATCACCCCCTTTCCCTGCTTTCCTTTAAAAATCCAAGACCCCAACAGGGCCCAACGATCTCCTGGGCTACTTGCTGGACTAAGCGATTTCGCCCCAGGACTGACTCTCTCTCTTTCTCTCTCTCTCTCTCCTACAATAAAACTCTCTCTGACTGCATCTATTTCGTCCTGACTCTGTTCTCATCCCGTACCTCAGTTCAGAGGGATCCTAGTGGTGGAGGGACCCTAGTGGTTAAATGTTAGGCTGTAATCTGCAAGGTCCTATGTTTGAACTCAGTAGCCACCCCGAGGGTGAAAGAGGGGGCTTTCTACTCCTGTAAGAAGTTACAGCAGTCTCAGAAACTCACAGTGGGGTCAATAACCTGCATTGATTCAGTAGCCCTGAGTTTGGGTTTTTGGTTTGTGTATGTTAAATACAGAGGAGCCCAGGTGGGGAAGTGGTTATATGATCTGCAAGAACAACAGTTTGAAACCATCAGCCACTCTGAGGTGAAAGGGCTTTCTACTGTAAAAGAGTTACAGACTTGGAAACTCACAGTGACAGTTCTCCCTTGCCCTGTAGGGTCTCTTAGTCAGCATAGATGTGATGGCAGTGAGTGAGTGATGCTGAACACTAGGATTTTGGCTTGTGCCTCTTTGTCTACTGCATGCCGACAGCTTTAGGTAGGGCAGCTTTACAGGTACAACAATGTGACTTGGGTTTCGTTCAAAGGGTCCATGCTGCATGTCTCCAAATCCTCACCACTGCCTTTTCAGTTTCAGCCAAAGCCAACAGTAGACTTGAGATTTGAAGAGGCCTTTCCCAAACCTGGGTTTTCCCAACCCTGTACTGTTGTGCTGGGGGTCTTCTGGATGGTGGCAGCTGAGTGTTGCTTAAACTGACCTCTGAAAGCATGTGAATTACCGTGCGCACATGAGGGAAGCCCAGCAACTCCGAGAGCGGGAGGGAAGGGACTACAAGACCCACTGATAGATTCCCCCTTACTGCAGTCACTTCCATCTGGTAGCACTGACCCTGCCCTCCACTAACATTTATTAAAAACTAGAGCTGCACTGTAAAGTCTCATTATGATTGTGCCATGTGTTTTCTCTATGTTCTTGTGCATTTTTAGAATATAGTATGCATCGTTTTATTATTTCAACTAGCAGGAAATGCCTTAGCATGTGGGGTTTTCTTGTGGGTGTGAGGAAGAAAGGACAATGAACTCATTGCTCGCCTAAGGAATTGACTGAAAGGGCAAATTGAGTCAGACCAGCCTTACTTGGCTTCTGGCCTCCACGCCAACTACCTACCTACCTATGACCTAATTAAGACCTAGTTAATCGTTAACTAGTTGGTCAACTTGGCAAGTTACTTTAATCTTTGTAAAGAGGCATTTATCTATAAAACTGCCAGCATTGGCCAACATGTAATTGGCTCCCATTTTATTGTTGTTGTTGTTCTCGCCTATGAAGTGTTAGAACCCATTTCTTAAATGGACCGTAATGGAGCATCAAAATATTATGCCTTCAATTACTTGGAATTACTTATTGAAGAAGGTTCCGAATTCAGCATTTTCTACTTTTCTCTTTTTATTTAAATGTCAGCATTTCAGACAGAATGGGCTGTTTAGAGAACTGATTCTATCTGTGCACTTTTGGGTAATTCTGGTTCTTTTTCTATAATTGACTAACTAGGTTAATTACTATAAAAGCAATCTAGAAGAGGTTTCTATTTGCTTCATTTGGATGCTTAAAGAAATTAGATTCTTCTATTTGAACTACACAGTTCTGTGTGATTATAGCATTATATAAGGAATCAACTTAAGTTTTTTAAAAACCTTCTGAGAATTTTAATTGATATCTCTTAGTCTCAACAATCACCTTGGTATATTGGTCTCAGTTTAATATTTTTCCTAACAATTATTCCTTGTAAAAGAAGAAATCAAAAACCAAACCCATTGCTATCAAATTGATTTCAACTCATAGTGACCTTATAGGACAGAGAATTTCTGCCCTCTAGGGTTTCTGAGCTGTGAATCTTCAGGGACTCCAACCACCACATGGAGTGGCTGGTGGGTTCAAACTCCTTATCTTTTTGTTTGTTTAGCAGTGAAGTGCTTAATGACTATGCCATTAGGATTCTTAAAAGAAAAAATAGTTCATTATTCCTGAATTGCTTTCACAAAGACAAATGTGATATTTATGGTTTCAATGATATTAAAAATCTGTAATTTAAAATAAAACAAGTAAAATTAAATTTTAATTTAATTTGCTTTAGTATGTCATATCCACAGGATTCCATTGTTTTGTCTTGTACATTTCTTGTTTGGGCTAGTCTTAATTGGACAGCAGTCTGATTAGTTCTAATTAGTATGGAGATTAAAGCCCATCTTGATGCTGTTAAAGTTACCTCACATCCACTATGACTATATAACGTAATGATACAAGTGAATTGGCAGTCAAATTACGGAGAAAATAGCAATGGTTCATTTAAAATCTACAGGTGTAAGAAATATCTAGATATTAAATAATTTTAAATTAAAAGTGACCTTTGCTATGTTAATTCCTTATAAAAAGGAAAACATCACTAGTTTACCTTGAAAGTTTCTCCTTTGTAGAATGGAAAAGATAAGTTTTTTTTCTCACGTCTTACCTTAATTTCTTGGTTGTTTCCCATTTTAGTGAATGGATTACTCAAATGTCATCGATTATTTTCATTTTATTATTATTTTTTAAATCATTTTATTGGGGGCTCATACAACTCATCACGATCCATACGTATATCAGTTGTATGAAGCACATTCATCGATTATTTTTAACAGTGCTTTCTCATCATCTTCTGCCCAGTGTTTGTATGCTACTGTAAAATGTATGTTAATGTCATTTAGAATTTTAAAATGTGGTTTTGTTTATGTTTGTATAGAAAACAAAATATTGGTTACTTTTACGGATAACCAGAATCCTTAAATATAAACACTTACATATTGCTTTGATATTTAAGAAAATGTTTTTCCTAATATTCTAACATCAGAATGGGTGGTATGGTAAATTTAAAAATTGTATAGAAACATTTTGGCTATTATAACACTCAGGTTTCCATTTCAGGTATTAGTTTTAATTTTATATATTTTTATTTCTTTCAAATAGATGATCCATAATTATATGGAACACTTAGAAAGAACAAAACTTCATCAGCTCTCAGGGAGTGAGCAACTGGAGGCCACAGCTCATAGTAGAATTAGGTAAGCTGTGTTGTCTATTTTGTCTTGAGAAAAAGTGAAATAACAGCTCTTTCATGCCTGGGTTTTCTCTGTTCTTTTTAACCCTGGAACAATGGTAAGGCATATTCACAAATATAACTGAAAAATAAAACAGCCTCTTAAAAAGGTGAACTATGAGACTTGCCAGACTAGCCACATATTGAGGTATTTGATGTTTTTTCTAGTACTTGAGGAGATTAGATTTAAATGTTTCTGGCTTGTGGGAATGTTGAGAATGTTTCCTCTCTCCTGTGTACAAATAGTAAAGTCCTTTTTGTTTCCACAGAGAGGCGTGTTTGAAAGGGTTAGCTAGCCGTCTGTTTGATGGAGGAGTGTGCATAAATTATGCAGATCTCCAGGCTTGGCAGCCAATGGGCTCGGCCTGGCCCGCCCGTTGCCCGGGGACGTAGTTAATAGGCTGGCTGGCTCTCCTGGTCGCTGCAGAAATGCCCCGAGCAGCCGCTCTCTGGTTCCAAGGCGGGGAGAGCGGATGACGTCGTTGCCTCCGAGCTGCAGCAGGATGGAGTGGAAAGCTGCTGCTGCTGCTGCTGGCATTGTTTTTGTGGCAGCAGCTGAATGACAGATCCTCACTACAAAGATCCCCCTTTGGCCCCGGTGTAGGCCTCCTGGTCCGGGTGTTCCACCATGCCAGCGCAGCGCCATGAGTCCTGGATGCATGCTGCTGTTTGTGTTTGGCTTTGTTGGCGGGGCGGTGGTCATTAATTCTGCTATCTTAGTCTCGCTCTCGGTTTTGCTGCTTGTGCACTTCTCTATTTCTGCCGGTGTGCCAGCTCTGACGCAGACTCTGCCAAGGATACTCAGGTACTCCGGTTTGTCTTGGAAGCCCGTGCTTAGCTGGGTTTTTCGTAAATTGTTAGCTTCACCGAGATCTGCTTGGTAACCATTTCTGTTGCAGATGGAAACAATGGAAAATGGCATGAAGCTAAGATTCCTGTTCTTATTTATAGTACTGGCTGGGCCAAGTAGAACCTAGGTAATACTGATTGGGCTTTGTGTTTTGAAACCACCAACCAAAGAAAAAGGCTTTTCCTATTGTCCATAGGCACAAGTACGAGGTCAGTGTGGTCCCAGAGGAAAGGGGGGCGAGCAGGAGCTGGGCACCGGCTCTGAGTTACACAAGGCTGCGTTTAGGGGCAGATAGCTCAGCTGCGAGGACTTGCAGTGGGTTAGACGCAGGTCTAAGGTATGTCTTGTTCCAATTGTCCTTTGATGAATGGAGGTGCGGGCATCCTTTTTCTGTTTTGGGTGGGGGGTGGGGGTGGTTGGGTTGCTAGCAGCTTTTGGGAATGGGCAATTTAACTGCCCTCCTGAAACAACGTCTCTTTTGCTGTGAAAGGCTTTAGGTTGAGGAATGCACCCCTCCCCCATTTTTTACACATCAAAGTTGGGAAAGCTTTACAAAGCCTATTCACTATTGTTTTGTCCGATGGTGCCCTTTCTTCCCTCCTAGCCTTGAAGCTAGGGTCATTAATCCTGGTGGCTTTACTTTTGGTACTCACATCCTGCTGGGGACATCTTGTACAGTTGAGACCTTTAAGGTTTTAAACACTCTGTTGCTTGTTTGCTTTAACTAATCAAACTAAAAAGAACTCACTGGTCAGATTTTGCTTTGTGCATGATTTTAAATGGGGCTCATAGTGCCCTCTTCATAATATTAAAAGTTGACTTAAAACGAAAATGTCCAAATGCTAACAGTGGATTTAGATACATCAGCATGAGCTAAAGCAGTAGTTCCCTCCCTCAGTTTGTCTTTTTTAATACACACATCATTTTAAGTCTAACAAGGGTTTCAGGCCCAGAAGTTAAATTTCAGCCTACTCTGTGGTGTAGAACAAGGTACTACTGGGTGATTTACACATTTTCTCTGAATTACACAAATTCAGGCCAGTCTTGTGTTTATTTTACATAGAAGAGTTTTAGATGTGTATACTTCTAAGAAACTAACCTCTGGATTAAGAAATATGTGGAGTTTTAAAAGTAGACTGATTTTAAGTAGGGGCTGTCTTAGGTAGGTCCCACCTGAGAAAGGCAGCGTGGCTCAGTGGGTGGGAGGCCAGGCTGACTGCAAGGGCTCTGTCACAAGTAAATGTAGAACCTTTGGCAGATTGTCTGATCTCTCAATGCCTGAGTTTCCTCATTGGAAAGTATTTACCCTGTTGGGTGTGTGTAAGTGAGATTATGATTTGGTATTTCATCAATTGCAAGATAGATAATAAATTACACAAGGAAATAACTTAATAGTCACTTATCTGTTACCATTATTTTTAGCAAAACTATTAAAGCTCTAGCTAGTTTATTGATAAAATAACACCATTAAATGAATCATTTCTTGACACTGTTATTCTGACTGAATAAAAGAATGCCAAAATCTTCCATGTTAAAAGTAAATTTTGAGGAAGTATGTAGCATGGTTTTAAGGAAAGCACGTTGGCCTTTGATTTGGACAAACCTGGTTTTGAATTCTATCTCTGCCAATGACTAGGCTCTAGCTTCTGAACAAACAGAATAACCGTGAGGATGGTGCAGACAGGTGGTGTTTCGTTCTGTTGAACACAGGCCCACGATGAGTGAGAAGCAACTTCAAGACACCTACCAACCACAACAGTCTCTGTATAAAATATTGAATAATGCGGGAAGCTTCAAAAGAAGGTGGAAAAAACACACAAAGTACCAAAAGGAACTGGTCCACTATTTCAAGAGGTGATATGAACAAGAACCAATGGTACTGAAGAAGTCCAAGCTGCACTGAAAGTATTAGCTAAGAACAGGCTCCACGAATTGATAAGAATACCAATTGAAATGTTTCAACAAGCTGATGAAGCACTGGAAGCACTCACTTGTTTGTGCCAAGAAATTTGGAAGAGAGTTACTTCCCCAACTGAATGTCCATATTTGTGCCCGTTCCAAAGAATGGTGACCAAACAGAATACTCAAATTATAGAACAGTATCAATGATAATCACATGTAAGTAAAATTTAGCTGGTGGTCATCCAACAACTGTTGCAACATACATTGATAGGGAGCTGTCAGAGATTCAGGCCAGATTCAGAAGAGGACATGGAACAAGGAATATCCAGAAAGATGCTTACTTGTGTTTTTATTTCCTATGCAGAAGCATTCAACTGTCTGGATCATAACAAGCTTTGGATACCCTTGGGAAGAATGGGAAATTCAGAACACTTTAATTGTGTTCATGTGGAATCTCTACATGGATCAAGGGGCAGTTGTGTCAGCCGAACAAGGGAATAAGACACAGTTTAACATCAGGAAAGGGGTTATGTCAGGGTTGTGTTCTCTCACCGTACTAATTCAGTCTGTGGCCGAGCAACTATTCAGAGAAGCTGGATTATATGAAGAAGATTGTGGCATCAGGATTGGAGGAAGGATGCTTGCGGTCGGTGCGGGACCAGGTGACATCTCTTCGTGTTGTATGTAAGACTGCCATGAGTTGGAGCCAACTGATGGCACCTGACAACATCATCTGCCTCCAAGTAACACTTTTCTTCATCATGAGCTGAGAAAATACCCTTGCTTCCCAGGCCTGCTCAAAGGCTAACTGAGATAAGTAAGTCATCTCGCTCGGTGCCTGCCACATGGTAGGTGTCTAACAAATGAAACCTTTTTTCAAAACCCCATGTATATAAAATTGACTTGCATTAAATGTGAGAAACGCTGCTCTAAACAATTGCTTTCAACTGTACATTAAACTAACATTTAAATAACCTACTGGAAAATGGAAGTAAGACAATTTTGAAAAGAATGTAACAGGACTCTGATAGTGGTGATAGCTTTGTTTCAAAACAGTAATAGAATGAAACATCTGAAGCTTAATTATTTTTCATTGATAACACAATCTGGTTTGTTTGAATATGAAACATTTACTGAAGCATTTAATGCAAATAAAGCGCCAAACATCTATCCCACTTTAGTTCAGGACTAATGTATACATTTTAGGGCCTTGTGTAAACGAGGATTCTAATTAATTTCAATAAGGACAATTTAGTGCCTCATCCTGTCCGTGCGTACTTCATCAATAAAACAGGAGAAGGGTATGTAGTAGATTTTCCATAGTTGAAGCATTGTGACTTAGACTATCAGTGTCCTGCTTGACAGCGAACTGGAGGGGTCTGAATAAAGTTCTGAGTGATTGCTCACAGCAGTATAAAGATGTGCTCTCTGCTTGTAGGATTTGTTGATGGGAATAGAGAGTAATGCGCTCGGTAATTGATGTGGGTGAAAATGCGTGTGTTGTCACTGGTGTAAGAAATTAATTTTGATGACCGGCCTTATATTTTGATTTCTGTTAGCAATGTGATGGATTCTTAGATGTCTGTATTGCCTAGCTGGTTCTCTTTGCATTTTGAGTTAGAACTCCATCTGATTAAATTCCCTGATTAAAGTACTATTTGCTTAAATCACTAAGGTATATTAAAAAACACGGTCTACTCCCTGGGGGACGGACAACAGAAAAGTGGGCGAAGGGAGACTTCGGACAGGGCAAGATATGACAAAATAATAATTTATAAATTATCAAGGGCTCATGAGGGAGGGGGGAGCGGGTAGGGAGGGGGAAAAATAAAAATAAAAAACACGGTCTAGCCAAGCAGTTCTTAGATGCTTAGGTTTCCATTTTCAAGATGTGTGCCACCAAAATTGGGTGGGGAGCAACATCAGCTTGCCAACTCCCCACCCCCCCACCCCCCCAGCTACCAGTGACTGTCACCGTTTTTGATAAGTGAAAGGACATTTAACATCAAGGATGCAGAAACGCTGTCGTTTAACACACAGATACGGGCAGTCAATCTCAAATCACAGGTTCTACTTTACAGAGAAATGTGTCTGTGTTCATTATGTACTATGTTGTCCCATGAAGATATAACACAGTGGCCTCATGAAAACTTTGCTGCTGGCCAGCATTTGAGAATAACTGCTGTAAACAATAGCTGACTACTGCACTTAATTTTTTTCTCATTGGTCTTTCTGGCAACTTGTGGTCACAATCTTAGGTTTGGTATTAAAATCTAGCCTCTTAGTGTGCTACCTTCTTGCATTTGAGTTTTTCTCCAAAATAAACAGGAAAGGTACTCCAAGTGTGAAGAAGTGATAGATCCATAATGAACTCTGATGGGAGTCCATTTTTCTGTTTTATTTTCTTGCTGATAGTGCCGTTTCTCGCCCTTTGCTTCACCTAGCTTTTTTATTTATTCATTCATTTATTTATCTATCTATTTGTTTGTTTGTTTGTTTATAAAACATTTTATTAGGGGCTCATACAACTGTTATTGCAATCCATACACACATCAATTGTGTAAAGCACATTTGTACATCATTCTCAAAACATTTTCTCTCCACTTAAACCCCTGACATTAGGTCCTCATTTTAACCCTCCCTCCCTGCTCCCTCCTCCCTCATGAGCCCTTGATAGTTTATAAATTGGTATTTTGTCACCTTGCTTTTAAGAGTGCCTTCTTCCAGGGTTGGTAATCCTCTTTGATTGTTCAGAATTGAAGACCAGACGGACGCACTGTGTTAGGAGAGGGCATTTTCAGAAGTGGCATCAATTTCTGTGGAATGAACAGTTTATTTAGGAAAATGGATTATTTTCTCACTGTTCTTTGTAACTTCCTTGTGTCAATTCTGACATACGTTCTTGCCAGTAGAGGTGTGGGTTCCAGGAGTCCCCCAGCCTTTAGGACCAATTCATTTCTTCCTAGTTCCCATAGTTGTGATTTAATGACCCGGGGTGACATGTTGATAGGCTCGGTACTTTTTCTCCCCCAAAGCCTTTGCCTGGGAGCTTTCTGTGCATCAACAGAGGATGTGTTTTCTTGTTGAAATTCCATTATAATTCAAATTGTAGCTTGGGTGCATTGAGATTTCCCACAAAGCAGTGGAAATGCTACAACTTTTTTTCTCTTTTTAAAGAAACTTTCTACTCCGTATTTAGAAAGAGCTAACAGTTTTATGAGGGAGCTTCAAGAAGTTGATGGGGGGAAATGGCATTGAAAGATAAGAGATTTTTTTTCCTCACAAACTTTTTGAAATCCCTGATATGCCTGTCCTGTGTCTGAAATCGTTTCTAGTGGTTCTGTTGGGAAGAAAAGCTTTTTTCGTCTCTCTGTGGGGAATACCAATTTTCAAGTATGTGGGGTTTTTGAAACTATTTAATCAGTGTCCCTGAATTCGCACGCATAGGCTTTTCTTATAGGCAGGAAAGATCAGCCTAGAAGAGGTATTGGCAGACAATCAGAGGATAATATGAGAATTGAGGAAAGCTGCAAGCAGACGTTGATGTCACTTCCAAATGGGGGCGTCTGTGGGTTGGCAGACTTGCTTAGGCAGGGCTAGCCTGAGCCCAGTGAAAGCTTAGCAATTGCTTTGCTCTGCAGCCAGACCACAGACCGATTCCTAGGAAGGAGCTCAGCAGTAATTCAGAAGACGCCCTATACCACTGACTTCTACTTTTCTTAGTTGTTTTTTTGGTAGCTAATTTAAATTTAGGAAACTGCCCATTATTTCCCCTCTAAGTCTTATTGTGCAGATGGTCGGACAGTATTATTGAAGAGTGATGATTCTGGTCATTGTTTCCCAAAGTGGGTAATAACTGCTGCCTCTTAAGAGTCCCTGGAAAGAGCCCAAGGAGGGAGGCTGTCCAGGCAGATACTTAGACAGTTTCCTGTATTATGAGCTGTCGTGCAAACATTTCTAATTGTCAGGAGGGCACTGAGCAATTTTTTTCCTGAAAAGCAGGTGGTAGGCCAAATAAGTTTGGAGCCTGTATTTTAAAGCAACTTATTTAGGCTTACTAAAGAACTTATCTAGGCTTACTTATTTAGCGGGACAGAAAAAAAGAATGGATGATTGATTTTTTTTTTTTTTTCCTTCCCTCGCCAAATAGAAAAGAACGTCCTATCTCGTTAGGGATTTTCCCATTGCCTGCTGGAGATGGATTGCTTACACCTGACACTCAGAAAGGAGGCGAGACCCCTGGATCAGAGCAGTGGAAATTTCAGGAATTGAGTCAACCACGTTCTCATACCAGCCTAAAGGTAAGTGTCAGTCTACTTTCCCATTTACGCTTTCTTTTCCTCCTCTTTTATTGTGTTTCAGGTGAACGGGATCAGCGAAAACCGGACGCGTTTTCTATTGGATAGTTTGTAAATGGAATGACACATACACACACACACACACACACACACACACACACCACACACACACACACCACACACACACAGCACAAACACACACCACAC